GTACTTTTTCGTTTATATTACTGAAAATTCATATCTACCGCCAACATATCGCATCTTTTGAAAGCGTTTTAGTATCCAAATATATTTTCTTTCTCGACGTTCCTTCGGGAAAAATCTGTTTGCCGTATTCTCCGCTGTTATTCTTAGTATGAGTTTCTCAGTCGCAATATACCGTTTTTTTTAGTATTCAAGTTACAAATATTATACTGCATAACCTTCTCCCGAGATATGTATACGCGTGTCTTGCGCGCAATTTTTCTAAAACGACAATCTCAACTTCGACATAACAAAATTGCGGACGTCGGAACAGGATGGGAATTTTTTAAACCGTCGCCATTTTTATGCTCTTTGAAGCATAAAATGTCCAAGTCTGGCAACGGAGAAAGTCGAGTACCCGCATAAATTATGCATCTGGAAGGGTGAAATTCTCTGCTGCGCAAACTTTGGGCTTGCTACGTTCTCGACGCCGAGAATCGTATTTGTAAAATTCAACTGATATTAATGAGCAAAGCCGACCCCAGTGCTTAAGAAGAATGTTCTTACGTTGCAATATTTCGCGAGATAGAACCAAACGATATGTCGTAGACGTTCGGGTTCATTACGTATATAACATTGTATAATATTGTAATATTAATATTAGTGGAAAACATTTTACCTCAGTAAATATATTTACCAGCAGCAAATACATTAAATATACATTAATTCCCTTTTTAGTCTCACGATTCATCCTTTTCTTATTTGTTTTCGCGTTATCGTCACGTCCGTCAAAAGCCGTAAATAGCTAAATATTGATTTTCACGATTTTTGGTCGGTTAAAATGCGCTGTAGTATTGTACTCTCTGTTAACAGTTAACAGCAACAAATTGTAATTAATCGTAACGGTTTATGATACAATGTTCGTTTCTTGACTCGTGTAATTAAAATTAATTATGGCTGTTTGTAGCGGGGCGGACAACGCAGGAGTTAATTAATTGCTCGCGATGTATTGTTCCACCGCATCGAGTAAGTCTTCACGGCTCTTCTCGTACCTTTGCTGCCAAAAGATCCTTTCTCCTTTGTCCGACTTTTATGTCAGACCCTTACATCGGAAATGTTCTCAAATTGTGTCTCACGAAGACTTGAATTCTAAACGCTATATCAAACGGTTGCTCGACGTTGCCACAATAAAACGTAATTGTTAAAATATCTCACGGAAACTAAATATCAGATAAGTTTATTGCGATTAAAACGGGCGACATTCTATAATTACGAAAGTTTCGAGAGTTTTTATAATTTTTTAATCGAATATCCGTGACGATTCATTATTCAAAAAATTCGGCGAGGAGTTTTAATATAATCAGAGTTCACTTCACTTCTGTCTGACGTCAAAGTTTTCTGGCATTATAATTTTTCACGCTTAATGCAACAAACTTTACTTGACGCGCAGGTGTGTAGTATTCAAGGATCTCTTCCGTAAAACTTCCTAACCCGGTAACACCGACGTGCGTTAACATTTTGTAAATAAGAAGTTGTCACCATCATTCATCCGGTCGGCTATTTACCGTACGGAACCTTCCATCTTCCGAATAATATTATTACCAATAAAAGTAATAAAGAAAATGAAACATAAGATACAAAAGAATAAACAACGCATATATGTAAGTAAATATAAAAGTAAAAAAAAATAAAAAAGAAAATATAAATTAACAATAAAACAATTTCTATTCGCATGTTTGAGATATATATTTCAATTTTTTAATAGGAAGCCTAATATATTTATCGTTATATAATATATTATTTCGCAGTGATCTTGAGAGGACCTAAATGTAAAAAGAAAATATTGAAAACGTAGATTTTTTCGAGCTTGTGAAAAAGCATGATTGAAAAACACTGTTCAACGATATTACATTTGCAACCAATGCAGTATTTTCTAGCAAAACTCCACCAATTGAAATACAAAATATACTCTCATCATTATAAAACATTTCGAAATAACTCTGAGTAAACTTAACATAAAAGAAAATTGCAAAATGTACATCTTTTAAGAGAAAGTTATTTTAGAAAGTCGTACGATACCAGCTGCGCAAACAATAGCACGCCAAAAGTTCGCGGCACGAAAATTACTAAGTTACGTTCGTCGAAGTAAATTCAACTGATTATGAGGGCATTATAGATGATCGTTCTAACTGACATCGCGATATATAACATTGACTATATCTAGCGAAAGTAATTATCGTAGTATTACAGAAAGCTACGGACGATGTTCTGTATGTCAAAGTTTCAAAGTTTATTCAACGGGGATTCTGAGAGAAGCGTTAATTGTAGTTAGCAAGAAAATGTACGTTTCAATTGGCTTTTAACTTCCACAAATGTAGGTGGATATAGGTGAATGCACTTTATCGCTCGGTTACGGTTTCCGCTATTCGGTTTACGTTAATTGGAAGGTATCATATAAAAATAAGTTAAACCATGGAATTTGAAAAAAAAAAAACCACCGGATTGTATAAGTTGTAAAAAGTTGTGCAGCTGGCAATATAAAACTTTGCATTTGAAAAAAAAATGATTGAAGTAAAATTTAATATCACACGCCATTCAGGAAAAATAGCTTAAAATATTTCTTCGAAATTTTAAACTTGATTTACTCCGAACTACTAGTTGATGGGTTAAATTACTTTTACATAATACTGTTCGATAAAGTTGTGCGATTCGAAAGGATAAATCGACCATTGACACATCGGTGGAAATAGCGAATGAATATGCCACTGCAGTCAAAATAAAATATAAAAAAATGCAAAAAAAATCGCTTTATCATTTAATGCAGGGGCGCTCGTCAATTTTACTTGCGCGACCATCACGGACGAGTGACTCGGCGAAGCTTTTCGCGTCATCCCACACCGTATCACACAAAATTTCCCATGGAAATTATTTTCGATAACGCCCTGACGTTTAACGGCTGAAACGCGCGGTATTACGAGCGGCTCATACACGTTTCATCGGGCATAAGCCACCGTAGCTTTGAACAGAAGCGCGACAATCAAGGGACATACCGTCCTAACAGAGAATAAATAAAAAATCATTTATGGAGTTTCATACTCCATAGTACTCTATAATGCAAGTGCCAAATAGAATGTCAAATTAAGTAATAAAAAAAACATTTTTTCTTCTGTTGACGCTACGGAGAGAGAAAGAGAGAAGTATTATAATAACAATTTTATCTAAAACTGTAAATTATTAGTATTTTATATTTTGCATATTAATTTCGTAATATAAAAATGATTTTCTTAATTTACTACATTCTATAATACAATTTTTGGCAAATATCAAATATTTATATACAAATTTAATCATTTCAGACTTCAATTTCAACTTTCATCTTCTCGTACGGCTTGTAATACTTTTTATTGTTTATATAACATACTTGCCAGTTGTATCAATTTTCTCCAAAAGAAATTAATAATTTCACAGAAATGATATTATCGTCTCGGGATACATTTATCAACTTGCTTCATATTTTCCGCGGAATTTTATATTTCACATGTAAGGGCGGTAAATTTGGGGTGACACCTAAGCGGAAAGTGTCCTTAGTGCGTCCCCGGTCGGACGCGCCGCCGTTGTCAGCCAGCTTTATCGTGAAGGTGCAATTTATTGTAGAAATTATTTCTCATCACACGCACGCACGGAGACTGACAATTACATTTTTCTACCGTCTGACCATGAGCTGTCCCTTCGACCATCGCATCATATATACGCGGAATGTCGCCTTCGTCTCGTTCACTTTGTTCCACTCGCGGACCCGAGAAGCGTAATGTTATATGCAATCGGGATGCGTGCGTGACATCGATCCGCGAGAAGGACCAAGAGGACGATCGAACGGGATGATGGAGAAAAAAAAAGTGCCAATGCGCGAAAGAAAGGAACGGCGCACACAGAAAGGGGGATAAATTGTACAGGCGACGCGGATTTATTCGAGCGCGATACGTTACCGTGATACGTGATGCGACTCGGCGTGAATCGACGAGCTTGCGATACTTTTGAGCGACGACGCCACTTTCGCTCGACAGACAATGCGTATATTCTCGCGATTTGACGAGGGAATCGGTAGTAGTGGCGCGGTGGTTGGGAAAATCATTGGGAAGAGAAAAGAGAGAGATGAAGAATGGATATGGAAAAGGAGAGGGGGAGAGGAGAGAGAGAGAGAGAGAGAGAGAGAGAGACTCTTCCTCACAGTAGGATGAGCTGGCTCTAATTCGTCGATGGTAGTTATCAAGCTGGATGGTGCCTGACAGTTTACGTGAATACGCGACGAATTTAAAATAAAACCGCGCCGTGATAAATTCCATATCTGCGTTCCGACGCGATGCTGTAAGCGACTGACATATTCCGCTGCAGTTGAATATCGTTTTTTCGATCTCTCCTCCATTGTCTACAATTCAGAGAGTATCCATATAATGTAGAGATTATTTCCACTTCGCATTGTATTTCAATGATAAATCCTTTCCTCAATTTGGAATCGATTTTTTTCGACAAACGTACATATTTAGAGAGACCATTGTTTACCACAATTTTCTAATTTTCCTCATTATTATACTTGTTCGTTCTTTACTTACAACTTTATTATCATATTACTAGTTATATATTCTTCACGTTCTTGCTCAGTTTTTACCGTTTTCTTTATTTTATTTATGTACTTTTTTTGGGTATACGTTTGGGTATTCTTTTTATACCACACACATGCATTTGTAAATCCATATTTTTTGTTACTTGCGCTTTATTTGTTGAATATCTTATTCATTTATCTGGCTATATTTTTAGATGGCTTACCCCACAATGATAAACGCTTTACCTCTCTATTTGTTATAGTTTTTGACTCAAACCATGTTAAAGTATAATAATAATAATATCGGTTGAACGCGATTTTAATTCCAGCGGAAGCTCATGAAAAATTTAATATCAATATTTAATATCATGTAAAATCTGTTAGACTTCAATATTTATTGATCACATTTTTTTTCTGCTTGCAGGTGATTTTTCGCTGCACATATATCCGGTGGAACTCGAGGACGACGGCACGTATCAATGTCAGGCTTCGCCGACAAACGACGGACAGCCGGCTTTACGATCGAGATTTGCCAAGCTGAGCGTGCTAGTACCACCGCAAAAGCCGAAGATCTTACAGGGTGACTTCCTCGTCACCACCGAAGATCGCGAGCTGGTGATCGAATGTATAAGCAGCGCCGGAAAACCACCGGCGGAGGCAAGTATACCCTTTCCTCTTTCCGTATCTTCTGGTATCTTTGTCAACGCATATATATGTGTGTACGCACATATATATATGTATATATATGTACACACATATATACCAATAGGATTACCCGAGATTAGATCGGATTAATAGCCGTGAAAGCAGCCTCCGGCGATTGCATCTGGAAACTTCGTGGATATCCCTTGGCAATGGGCAGTACGTTGCCTCGAAGATTATGCTCGATTGATTTTACCTTTAGCCGTATCTCCCTTAATCATGTCATTTCCGAATGTCTCTTGTTGCACATGTAAATCCATCGTATTATCAATCGCAATTCTAAACGAAATAAATAAACACATAGTCGAGTTCATTTGGTAGCATATTTAAAAGTACTAACTTATGTAAATTGCAAGTTTCAACGTATATAAGTATGTAGTGAAATATATTAAAAATTTTTATTTGCGCATTAATTTCGACGCGTAACTTTTATATGTCCTTAATAACTGTATTTATCATTGTTTAACGTTAAGAGTCAATCATTATTTATTCGAAAAATAAACTTGGTTTATATACTACATTTTTTTGATGAATATATCAACGTAACGTGTGAAATACATGTATATCAAAACTTTATGCTATACCTAATAATATCTAAAGTTATATGGCATCGTATTATACGTGATAATATATCTTAACGTGACTCTGTACGTATAAACTGAGTTATAGTTACGGATCCGTCATAAAACAGGATGAACATATCCACATATCAAAACCCCTTATTTGCGGTAGATCGCTGCGCACAGAAATACAAGAACTATTTTTCTCTCAATTAACCTTCTCAATTTATGTCATATCTGTGGAACGTGATTCAAAGCTGTTTTTAACGCGTCGAAATAAACAGACAATTATACTATTCAGTATCAAATTAAGATTCATTGGAGGGCTTTCGTGTCGCATGAATTTTCACTGAAATCGATAATATGAAGAATAAGTTATTATTCCTGCTGATTGATTGAATAAAAAGCGGCAACTCAAACACGCGGGGCACGCTTAGTAAATAGTATCGAATCTGAACCAGGATTGAAGCTATGGATTGCACTTCTTGCTGCGAAGTCCACTCAGTAGAACGCGTGGTTCCGCGCAACAAAAACAACTTTGAATCACGCTTGGTGAGTCTGAGATTTATGTGGGTTACCTATGTCCCTACACATCTAGCCCGTCAGTTAATACTGATTGCTCTTGCAATTCCACCCCTTCCGAACTTATGAACGTATAAAACACGTTTTTGACACATAATACGCGTATTCGGATAAATAAAGTACGTGCTTGTGAGAAACAAGTTAGTTTGAAAAGAAAGAAAGAACTATATAATTCTGAATTTTACATTCTATAATACAAACTGTGCGGATGTAAATTAGCGTCGTTAGCTGTTATTGTTTTTGCACTCAATACTACGAGTAATAATAACTTGATAATACACGAGAGCATTTTTCGCATTAAGGCAAATATTTTAACCGTAATAATCGCAATAACGTAATATGGTACGCTATGATACAATTATCCTTGTGTAAAATATCGTTAAAGAGGATGGATAAATGCTTTGATATATTACACTCAGTCTAAAGTGACTGCTTTACGAGACACATGTAATACCAGGAAAAAGTTCTCGTTAACTTCATGAGCCTGTAAGATGTGTTTCCATAATATTCGTGACAAAAGGAAGTTTATCCTTATATAAAAGAGCTTAAACTTAATGACTGCTATGGAGATAAGGGTTTTCCATTACGCTAATGTACCGCCTACGGATTTCATACGGCGCGCTTTATTTTCATTCATTACATAGCAAAAGTTCGGCTATGCCGACCTAACAACATCGGAAGTTATCACAGCTGCATAACTTTCCATTACAATTGCACGCTAAGAATTTCTTTCTCGCAAGATAATACGTACAGGGTGCTTCAAATCTATTTATTCAACAATCTCTTTCATATAAAATTGTATTGGTCTACCGATCGATTTATTTAATGCGCAAATATTTTAAATAATATTCGAAAGATTTTTGCAAAAAAAAAAATTTCTTACGAGTATGCTTGTTTAAATTTCAAAGTATCTATTTTTTTGTTTGAATCTTCGCCATCTGTTACATATTATAAACGTAGGAAATAAATAAAATAATTTACTACCGCAACACCGAGTAGTTGATTAAAAGTTACGAAATGCATGTCCAATATATTTTGATATCAAAATAATCCAAGAACTTGAATTTGTCAAGCACGAATTTTATTCTCAGATAAATGTACGATCACGACGTTTACTGTCGTTAATGTTAAATCCGGAAGCAGCCAGTTAATCGACAACTGTCGAAGAATTTAATGAAATTTGTTTCTCGATCGCTCTCTCGCAAACGCATGCTTTTTAATTAAAATTATGCAAATCCACGATTAATGGCGCGATCGGGGAATCGACACGCGAGTAATGATCACAGAATATTTAAACACGAAAAAATATCCATTTTGAATGTATTCCCGCGGCATACAAAAAGAATACATTAAATCATAGAGTGATTAAAATGGTCGACTGCAATCTGATAGAATATTGAACCACATAATCGTACAGAAGTTTCATAATTTCAGTGGAATATTAATGATCAAAATAAATGGCATCGCGATTCTCAGAGAAATAATTTAATATGACTTTTGTTACGTTGACTATATTGTATATTGGTTATGTATCGTGTAAATCTTTCTTAAAAACTAGGTTCACAATTCGTGATGCATCAAATCGCGCAAATCCGTGAAAAGTATCATATTTTACAAGAGCTTAATTTTCACATTATTCATTACCACGAAACCACATTTCGCGTACCCATTAATTAAATCGATATTCTCCGGTGTTACAAATATTATTACGGAAATAGGCTATGCACAACATCCGAATTTCAATCATTTGAATAATCTCGTTATATATGGAATTCTCATCCAACCGCTATTTCAATCGTTTTATGGAAAGTTCCATAAGGTGCTAATGGCTGTAACTATAGGTATCATATATATCGAAATTCATGAATGAAAAAAGCACGATAAAAAAAGCGATGACTAGCAAAAAATAGCAAAGAGAAATGATACATGAATAATAAAAAATAATTTTTTAAAATCTGTTCTCTCCATGAAGTAACAATCGTTTTTATAACGATAAATAAACCATTATATTTTGAGTAAAATAACGACCATATACTTTTAATATATTTGTTTAATATAATACACATATAACCATTATACATATAATTATATAAAATATAAACATTATACTAAATTATTCGTCTGTCACAATTTTACTACTCTTTTAGCTTTGTTAAAATTATTCACTCTCGCAGGATTTAAAATTCATTTTTCGGCAGTATAGTACTTTTCATAAATTTTCGTTAATTACGTTATTATTACGCCCAGTTCTGTTCAATCAAACAATAGACTACCTACATAATCGATCATTGACGTGATTCAACATTATCCGCTCACGGAGCGGAAAAATGGAGCGAAAGCTACTCGCAAAATTTCGATGCATTGTTGTATCAGTGAAAGCATTAGAGCAAGAACGAAAGAGTAGAGTTGCTAATCACGCGATATCGTGCGTACAGTTCGTGCGGTTTCATCATTAGACCGCTTTTCTTCGCGTATCGTGTGCAGTATTATTAGAACATGAAAAGTAAAATGTATAAGGTGTCATAAAATATAAGAAACGGAAGTCAGTCATAGAAATATACGATACATTTCAATTTCCAATGTATTCAAAATCTAGACGTTTCTATAACAGACTTTTATCGCAAAAACCGAAATTTTTTTACATTAAATGTATATTTAGAAAATACGCAGTTTTTTTTGGCGACAGGTTCAAATTGGCGAAAATCTGTTATCGGTTTATAAGCTCCCGTAGGCGCCCATGAATGATTACATCCGAACTGTCCCGAAGCATATTTATATTTGATTTTTATTTACTCTTGTTTTTTTGTGTCATTGGATTTTTTTTTAATGTTTGCGACGACCTAAATAAATATCCCATTATCGAAATTTGCAAATCTGTTTCTAAAAATGTATTTACAATTTTTTAAAGCTGCATATTTCAAAGAAGATAAAAATAAATTTTCAATCATATATCTTTATCTTATTTATCATATTCGAAAATATCAATAAATGTATATATCGCTAAAATTCAATAAAATCTAATTTAATTCATATTACATTAAAATTGTATTAAAATATATTGCATTTTTAATTTATACTATAATAAAAAATTAAAATATATCAAATGTCTTTTTAAAAAACCAATAGAGAGTATGATTATACAAATACATCATATTCTGCGCCGAAATAAAATAGTATCAAGAAAGATTAATTAAATATTCGGTAAACTGTTTTTATAGAATTCGCTTGTTCTTCATTTTTCTCTCTGTTTACAGTGCTTCGCGTATCGTAAAGTTTACGGAGATGAATAAAACAGAAGGATTTTCACGAAATAATTTTCACAAAGTCAGGTAACTGTGAAGTTGTCTTCGTCGCGCGTATAATTTTGAGATTAATATTAAACAGCATCTAATAATTGTTCCCGTAACACGTAACGTCTACTTGCTACGATTCTCTCACAATTGTTTAAATTATTATATTCCGTTCATGTACACTTTTATTCTGATATTTCTCGCCTCCTATCTCACCCTTTTCGTCTTCTCAACAACATGAAAGTTTTAAGACTTTCTATCGCATTGCCGCCAAAACTCGCGAGATACCGCAAGTTTCCTCAAGGCAGGATTTTAATATTGCTTTTAGAGTACCAAATGTACTATTGTTCTCTATTCACATTGCATTCAGAAAATGTACAAAATATATTTATATTCATATTGACATTTAAATTATCTAGCGAACAACAATAATTTGTCAAATTATTGCGATTAATTCAGCTTGAGAAATCTCGGGACTCTGTTCGCGCGATAAAATCGAAGGAAACATTTAATAAATGCAGATCTCTCGATTTTACGACTTAATGTACAAGCCATCTCGTTTCCTCTGAGATGCTCGGTCGGGCGACGCTCTAAGCCGCTGCCGATATTGCTGAATCTATCGCGGCCTTATCAGCCTTCATTAGGCGAATCGCACGGAAGAAAAAAGGACAGAAAAAGCAAGCGAGTAAGAGAGAAAGGAATAGTGCAATTCTGCTAGAAATTCAGAGTCACCACAGTCGAATGCTTCGTAGCTCTCGCCATAATCCGATTTTGCGTCTCTCTTCTTTCCTGGATGCGCTGTCGCGCGCATACTCTCTCTCGCGCGCGTTCCTCCCGTTTGCTTTTCAACTGATAACTAGTAATTAAACAGCTCCAACAACGGAATAGGGCATTTACTCGTGCAATTCCTATCCCTGCCTCCGCCTTTCTTTAGCATCCTCTCTCTCTCTCTCTCTCTTTCTCTATTTCTCTACTATTACTACTACTAATACCACTACCATTACCACTACTAACACCTTCTCTTCACCTGGTCGCACCGCTTATTCTACATCCCGTAACTCCACTTTCAGAGCTATTGTCCATCGTGCGAATGGTCCATGCGGGGGTGACGGGATGGGGGCGCGTGGATGCCCACGGGAAATTATTAGTTGTGAATCTATTCATCTTACCAGAGAAAACCGCTACGGGATATCCTGATACGATTCTCAATATGCTTCGTAATAAAGCTGGACGCGCGCGCCTCGAAATTTCTAGCCCGGAGGGCAACCAGCTGCGCGTGTATTTCTGCCATTCTCAACCAGAAAATGCGAAATGCACGCTTTAATACCGTGAAAATGTAAAAACCGAATATCGGATGATTAAGCGAGCGGGAAAGTGGGATGAACGTTCGATGGAGATTAGCTCTGGAGCTTCTGTTTATTATTGAAATATAAAATAAAGATTCGAAATAAAAACGGTATTACGTCGTAATGATATTTTTTGCGACAAATGATACTTTTTCGTGGGGCGCATATACTTTTACAGACATTAACACAGCTTTTTTAATCCATTTCTATATTTTTAAGTCTTTAAACGTTTCAGTTTTTTCGGAAATTACGGATTTTGCTTTTAAAAGCAACGCGTTTCATGAAAGTTAATTATATTATGAGTTTTATGAGGCTATATATTTTACGAGAAATTTTTAAGAGAAAGGATAAAAATGTCCGAATGCTCCGATTTTTCGCTTCTTTAGGCAAATGCACTTTGCACGGCAATTTCATTCGCACTCGTGGCACAATAGTAAATGGTACTGCACCGCGAGACCGCAGAACTCCTAATTAGAGCGGACGAGATCGATTTCCTGCGGAGGCCGCAGTTAGAAAAGCGACTAAACGAACCTGCTTTACAAGAAGGCGTCAACGGAAAGCATATTCGATTCAGCGCTGATTGCATGAAAGGAGGCAAGCTCGTAAATCGTATGTCGATTTCCGATATTTCTCACGTTTTAAAAAGATCTCCATATATATTTATGAAATCGTCTTGTATCACGCGCTATATTCGATACACTATGATTTTACCATTATGCTATTGTGTGTAGAAAATTGACAATAGCACCGCATATTCAAACTTAAGCGAAAAATAGAACTCACTAATGCCGTAACATTTTTTTATCTTGCAAAATATATTCGAAGGTATTATTATAGAAACTTAAGATACTTTTCTGAGAAATAATAATGATGATTTTTTTTTAATTTAAAGAATGTACAGCTCAATATATAATTATTTCTGACATTTTGTACCAGATATTCTAAGCATCTTAATATTTCCTCTCATTTTTATTATACCTGCATATAGAAGTGATGTAAGATTGCAAATATTAATACATTGTATGAATTTCATTAATAAGTATTAGATTGCATGTTGCTGATAAATCAGCAAAAAAAAAAACAAAATTATCGGAGTAATCGCGAAACGCTTTGAAAAACAAAATACCTGTATCCGATAGATATCTGTTGGCTCGCGTGAAATTGCAATAATATGTTTATGCGGTAAAAATCGTGCGAAGAGTACATAAATCGTGAGATACAGGACAATACCGTAGATAATGGCGACACTGTATGGGAAATGGGAATACGATTATTCTAGTGATCCCTATAACACAGCGAACGCGGAAGGACGCTGCGGCACTTGCAGCCCGGAGATCTCATATCGATAACAAACAGCAGGAACTCTCGCATGAGGTGTCTAATTAGAGCCGATAAGCTTGATTTCCGCGACACGCACGCACATACGCGCGCAATTGTGTTTGAACAGGTCCGGCAGAACAATCATGTTACGGCATTATGCACGGAAATTCGTTCGCAACTTCATTAATTGATCGTTGCAAATCGCATCCCTCTCAACAATTCCGAGGCTATCGGTTTTTATCCGTGAACAACATTGTGAAAATTTTGAATACAGTTTGTGGAATTCACAAAAGCTGATATTGCTTAAATTTTCGAAATTTTCCAACTACTTTGATCGGAATACGTTAGAGAAAATTTATTATTCTAAATAAATTAATTAATAGAAATAATTTTACTTTCGGTCAAATCTCTTAATGCTTAATAATACTAAATGCAAATTTTTGCAAATATATTATTTCAGTTTCATAGACTGCGTGCCAATAAGGTTTGCTGGACTCGAAACACAGTCATACTTCAACTGAAGCTGAAGAAATTAATATCTCTCAAATTAAATTAATTTTCCATTTAATTTCCATTTAATCCGTTCCACATTTTAATTCATCCATATTATTCCAAATAATTATTTAATATATATATCGTAATATATTATCTACAATAAATAATTGTTAAAAACTTGTATTTTTATTGGAATGTTTCTCTAAAAGAGGACTGTAGCTTTTATATAAAAAAAAAAAAAACCTTAAGTTTTTAAGTCCCACGGGCAACATTATGGTAATAAAAGCATAAGAATTCCGGTCACGGGTCAATTCCCTGACGCGGGTGTTTTCTCGAGCGATGCTATTTTTAACTGTAACGTTTCTTGCAGATCACGTGGATCGATGGACTGGGCAACGTGCTACGCCATGGCATCAAAACCACGAAGGAGGCGTACGATAACGGTCCGCTGATTACTGTAAAGTCCGTCCTGAGAGTGATGCCGCGAAAGGATCACGACAACACGACTTTCACGTGCCAAAGTCAAAATATGGCGGATCGTTCGCCGCAAAGCGCCAAACTTCGCGTCGAGGTACGTACAAAGTAATTGGGCCCCAGTCTTAGTGCGCCCTACACGATTCCGATAAGAACTTGAACCAGTTGGAAACACATAGGGTATAATGTCATGAAATAAGTCTGTGAACCGTGTCAGCAAGACGGCGAGAAATCGAAGAAAAATAAAAGAAAATGGGAAGCGGGGGAAGATAGAAATCTCATTTAAAGGGAAATAAAATCACTGGCCTTTTACGCGCGCGCGCGTTCTTTTTACTCGCTGACCGGAGGAAGAAATTAACGCGAGTCGCGCAAAAGCAGGGCCCGGGACGGGGCAGGGAGGAGGGTAACGAGGGTAACGAGGCGACGTATAATAATTAACGTCGTGTCTTGAGAAGCGGTTAGCGCGCGGTAATCGCCATCCGCTGGCGCAACTTTCGTGCTGCGAGCGCGCGCGAGTACTTTGGCGCGTTCTCCGGGTACTACTTCCGCCCTCTTTTCTTCAGAGACGTAGACTCCATTATCCGAAGTGGCAAAGGGAACAAATAGTTTCATGGAAAAGGGCAACGAAGCGAACTCGCAGAGATTTTTGCCCGGGCAGAACATTCGAATTTGTGACGACGACGACGACGACGACGACGAGGTCGAGGACGGAGATGGCGCGATATTTCGACACACCGACTGCCCGACCTGCAGAGAAAATTCTCACGAGTTATTACTTAACTCTTTTACACTGGCGCCGGATATATTACCCGCGCTTTTCACTGCTCCTAATATATAAGTTCGACATTAATATCGTGTCCTAATTGGAAGCAATTCTTACGCAAGCGAGTTCGAGCGAATTCCGATTTCTTCGATGTGATTTCTTTTTTATCATCCACGCACCTGTCGACAAAATGAAGAAAAACTTAATTTTTGATATATAGAGAGAATATTTTATCTTTATTACATAATGTGATAAATTTTTCTTCTTGATTCAGAGTGGACTTCTACTAAAATATCTGTGTTATTAACTTCTTTTAGATTATGTAACGTTTTTATATCGAATAAATCTCAATATAATGTTAATATCAAAAATAAATCTTTTAATATCCATTAAATTTAATATTTAAATATTAAAATCTTTAAATACGAAAATTCTGTTTAAATGTATTCGAAGTTCAATGCAAAATAAGCTGTATTACTAATGACGATTTTTCAAGTTTATGCTCATAAAAGTATTAATCGTTAATATTTTCGGTAGAAGGAAATTTTTATTATTTCATTTATTATTCGAAACAATCGGATGGTCAAAGGAAGCATAGTGAATCGAGGAAACATGCAATGCAACAAATGCCTCGTTATTAATTTTAAAATTGTGCAAAAAAATTATGGCCTTAAAAAGGATAGAGTTTCAAATAACACGATAAATATACGGCCCTAAAAGGTTTCGGACAAAATTTGAACAGATAAAATTTCATTCAATTCTGAAAGTGTATCGAGCGTGAGTAATATACTACGGGATATATCTCCTATTTCCCTTGTGAAATATATAACGAACGCTTCGAAAATTTCAAACGTGCAGTAATGGATATGCATCATTATTATTCCGGACTACGCACGTAGCACAACTCGGTACGAAAGCGCGACGGTAACCATTGAACGGTTCGATTTCTGCGTGATGGGAAGCTTAGAAAATGGAGAAAGGCAATTCGCACATTTTGTTTTCAGGTACGTTACGCACCAAAGGTGTCCCTCTCGAAGATTGATCGCATCGTCGAAGGTTCCGAGCTTAGGTTCAAGTGTTGCGCCGAGGCCAACCCACCTGATGTAGAATACAGGTGAGTACAAAAAACTGACAGATATCGACGATATTTCCATTAATATTAAAAGAGAGGAGATTTAAATATCCGATTCTTCATTAAAATATTATAGAATAATTAATGTAGTTATGTCAGCTCTCAGAGATATATCATAAAAACTGTATTTTATTAACGTACGAAGCTGATAAAAGTGCGCGCACAAAATTAATTATTATTTATTAAAAACAGAAGAATAAGACTTCTCTCTACACGGATTAACGGTAATTCGAACTTTACTCTAAATCAGGTCGCCGAGTTGTTCAATAAAGTCAATATAGTTGAGCACGAGTTTCAAAATAGTTACTTAACAGTTATTCTCTGTGTATCTATAATTAGCATACAATAAGTGAAATATTGATGACAGGCGGAGACCAATATAGAAGATGGCGAACAATGCACGATTGAACTTTTCTATATGTTAAAAATCATCGTGATCAATCGGTAAAATACCAAACGCTCCGTTTTAATTCTTGTCTGAGATATTTTTCCAAACTTTTAGGTGTTTGCTGGGAAAATATTTGCCAGAAAGTGGCTTCGATCGAAACTGAAACTTCCCTTTCTGCATGCACAAATAAAATATGACGTACATAGGCGATTCAACTCGTATCAGCTTCCCTTCCTTAAAGCGATCGGTTCCCTTAAGCTACTTAAAGTTTCCGAAATATCGATAGTTTCTCACGATATCGTGTCGCTACAGGTGAGCGACGCCGTCGGCGCAGACGGGCACGCGAGGGCGCGTAAGCAAAACGTGAGTCGCGTTGTTCGTACATTGGCTGCGAGCGACAAAGAGACGGTGGATGATCGATATCCGTCTCTACAAAGAGGACAATGTCAAATTCAGGACGGTGTTGCGCGCGCACGTGTTAACGTGGGGCGCGTTTGCGGGTTTCGCCTAGCGGGCCCGCTTTGATTGCTTTTAAATTATTCGTTACGCAACATCCCGCCGGGGGAAAAAAAAAAACCTGCTCGCCCCGGATGACGCGCTGTATTAATTTACGAGATTATCGGATGGTCGCTCGAATTAAATCGGCTCGACGAAAATATCACCCCCCGAGAAAGCGCAGATTGCATATCTAAAAAAAACATTACCGCAATTTGTAAAATCAAGTCCCTTTTTTTTTTCGTTTATGTTTTTCAAACGAGGCTTTCGATCGTTTAGCGTGAATTGTATTGACGCGCAACGTATACGGGTGCTTCGCGTTCTTTTATATCGCTGCTGCGTTTCGCTGCGCGAGTTTAAATTAACTTCATATATAATCAAAGGTAGAAACAAAAGGATTTCGATTTACAACGATTTTTTGCGACTGAGATTTAAATTGCGGCTCTTTTTCCGTACATAAACTGAACGGAAAGCTTTTACACGGATACAAAAGCTCAAAATCGTTTTCTTTTCCTTTTTTTTCGTGTCACGACGGACTTTCTCCAGGCGTAGGTGATGTGTGTGCGTTAAAGCTCCGTGGAAAAAAAGAAACTTGATCCGCTTATGGGACTTCACGGACAGTAGGATAGACAGAGAAGCGAGTAAAGAGCAGCGAGAGAACCACATTGTATTGACGATAACGAACGTTAGTTACCAGTCGCTTTAACAGCTTTTATAGCTTTCGCAGCTTTTTTATAGCTTTCACAACGGTCGTCGTCGCGCCACTGTTCGTAAAAAAAAAAAAAAAAGATCCGAATGCAAGTGAAAACTGAGGAAGCGACGAGACCGGCGACATGATTTTCCGTGTTCTCGCGCGGCGTTAAGTAACGAGATGACAAAAGTAACAAAATCTCCTATCGTATCAGTTTTTAAATGATCTCTCATTACAGCAGAGAAAGGATCGTATAATATTCAAGGAAATGTAGGAAACTCAGATAAGAAATAACTTAACTCGTTGGGCTAATTAATTTCGGATACTAATTAAATTTGCGTTATTTCATTTCCGTGATCACAATCACTTTGATAAATTCTCGGGTTACAGAAAATAGAATGATACGACAAATACGTTCTTATCATCGTGTAGTTGAATTTCCTGCTCTCTACCCAAATTATTACATTTATTAATAAAGCAATTAATATTAGCAAATTAGAAAATAAATCTGAAAATCGGAGCGTGTATATAAACTCTTCGAGAAAAGCTTGTTTCTTGAAATATTTTTCCTCTCTCGCGCTAGAAATGAGAAATAACCCCCTCTGATGACAAATACATATAACGTATTACAACTCGAGATAGAAAGGTATTGCTGGAATCATAAAACTTCTTTCAATCTCGCTGCAAAGTAAAATATCTTCCTAAAGTTAGATCGTGTCTTCCGTAAACACTATAGATGCGTACGCGAAAGAGTTGAACTTTGCCGGAAGATACGAGATGACCTACAGACATTTCGATGTTTATCGAGTCGTTATGGCACGGTATTCGCGCGAATGTACGTTGCACAACGCTTTTGCCGGCATCTTTGCGAGGTAAATTGTCTGTCGGACGGCTCTACGGCTCCGATAAAATCGATTGCAATGCGAGGGGTGAAGAGCGCGAGAAAGGAGGGAGGGGGTTAGCAGAGGGTGGCGAAGGGTGGTGGGTCTCTCTTGGCTAGAGACACACGAGCTTGGTAAGTCGTCGTTCCGGTTCGATTCGACTCTTCTCTCACTCACTCTTTCTTCTTCTCCCTGATTGTACGCGAAGGCCGTTTCGTCGCTGTGAAAAGCGCAGCCTGCCCTCTCCCGTTTATTACCATTCGAAACGACGACGCTGAGGCTCTTTTCCTCGATTGTGCGGCCAAACGATGCTCGAGATAAATCGCTCAGATCCTTCGTGAAGATGCCTCAGTTGGCAAAAGTCGAGTGGCAAGAATAGCTCGCGATAAAGAAACGTCATAAAGTACGTGTAAAATGTCAACCGAACCAAATTTACCGTGCTCGTTGATTAATTTAACATCGACTTCTCTCTACATTGTAAATATTGAGAAATTAATCATTTTTCAATTATAAGAATGATCGAAAATGAAATTAAATTTGAGAGACAAATAAATGTTAAGATAATTTTTCATTTAATTTTTAATTAACTAGGACTTTTAGCTTGAGATCTAATTAACGAAATGTTTATCAAGTGTTAAGAGAGAAAAGTATTCAGTTTAAAAAAAAAAATCAAATTTAATTAAAAAATACGTGCACATCTTGCATAATTTAGAGATATCTCGTATATATAACGCGAGATCAGCCGAAAAAACGGGTATGGCATTGAGTCGCAGAAGTAATCGTTTAAATGCATCGCGTTATTAAAAAGTCGTATTGATCCGGAGCGGGAGATGGCGACGCTAGAAAGTTATAGAACGATAGAAGAAGAAAACGCGATTTGTGTGTGCGTGTGTGTGTATGCTGTGAAAAACGTCTGATAATCCGTGAGTTTTTGATCCACAACGTCGGCTTATTACACCCGTCAATGGTCAAATAATTATAGAGGATAAAGAGGAGAGATGCTATTTTAGACCGTCCTCTTTAAATGACGTTTATTTCGCTTTTCTTTTCCAGGTGGTTTATCAACAAGAAAAAGGTGATCGGGGACTACACCACGGAGATGATTATTCACAATGCTACCCGTGAGCTGCACGACGCGACCGTAAAGTGCGAGGTTTCGAATGAAGTCGGTAAAAGCGAGGAGAGCCAAACCATGGATATAAGATGTAAGCAAAAAGAAAACATTCCCGTAGGAAAAATAACAGTGGAGGTCAATAGTTTCTTAGAAACTATCACGTGTTTTAACATGGACTTTTTCTTCGATGCTTAAATTCCGCGAAGATTCCAACGTTCATTTTGTGTGGGGAAAAAAATGATAGTTTCAACGCAGTGGTCTGAAAATACCATCGCGCAAAGATATAAAATAGAGCGTTGCGCGTTTCGTACGCGCGCTGCTCGAGACCACGTTAAGAGAGAATTTCGTTTTATCGTAAAGCCGGTACCTTACAGACGTGTTAAAGGAGCAATCGCGGTAACGATATAAAATATAGTGCCACGCCGCGGAAACGCGCTCTCGAAATAAGCCGCGCCGGAATAGACGCGCGGCAATAAGGAAGTAACATTTTTTCCCCTCCCATCTCGCGAGTTCATTTTCGTGCGAGAGCTGACCTGGAGGGGGGGTTAAAATTGAATTTTCTCAGACGGCCCGCAGTTTCGGCACCCGCCGCTTTCCGTGGAAACACATTACGGCGCCACGGAGATCCTGCAGTGCGACGTAGACGGGAATCCAATGCCCGAGATCGAGTGGTACCACGAGGATTCGGACCGAATGGTCGCCAACAGTCCGAACATAAGCGTCGTTGTGAGCTCCGACACTGCCGGCCGTTACTACTGCAAAGCCCGTGTGCGCGGCTTTCCGGAATTAACTGGCCATGCCAACATCTACATTCGCGCGCCGCCCAGCATAGTGTCGCAAAGGATCCAATATGTGCCTGACGAAGGAGTGGTCAAGGTGCGTACACACATACATTGATGGGACAATGTTCTTTGATCCGCTATCGGTCGGTTAAATATCATGCTCAGTGCGACTATCATTCGCAAAGGTACGCGGAGCCCAGCGCGTAATTTTCTTGAGTGCCGTCGTGCCGGACGTTCCGCGCGTGTATATTATGAATTATTATTACATGGAAACATCCCTCCTACCGGAAAGATCTTTTAAGGGGACGGTAGTTATCAGGAAGCACTCAGTATAATTTACTCTGGATAATTTAGCTTCATCCGCGACGTGAAAATACACTTGAGAGTCTGCTAAGGCGATCAACGTACGGGGTGTTGACATGTTCCGAGTAGTCTCGATAAACATTTTCAAAACGAGGAGAAAAGTCCGTATCAATGTCCGACCTGAAATGCATTTTTATAAGCACTCTTGTTGATATGATAGCTCAAGTAGAACAACAGGTTACGATAACATGAAAATGATGTTAATATGAATCGTGACTGATAAAAGTGACTTTTAATAATCATTTTGATGTCATCATGACTTGATGTTCTACCTGGGAAGTTATGATTAAGCAATATGTACGTAACTGACGTAATAATAAACACAATAAGATAAACATCCAAAACTCACTTCACTTAAAATTATATCGATTTCAATCTTCGTTGAAAAAGGTGTAGACGTTTGCGGACATATGTCGATACGAATTTTTGTCTCGTATTTCAACTGAGAATGAACTGGCACCCAAAGCTCGTCCAAGCGTTTCGCCAGCATTCTATATACGTATCCTCACGCTGACACAGGAGTTCACGATGATCGCGCGATGCCATTCCCACATTTTTCTCTCTGCCGATGCTTGAAACACTTTTAGAGGAGACCGAAGAGCGCGGGTCACCCCGGTTGACGAGGGTGAAAGACCGGGGTCGCCGGTGAGGGGTGGAATGGGACTCGCGCTTAACCGCAATTTTTTTATTTCACCGGCATTTTTCCCCGATTTGCTTCCCAGGTTAAGTGCACCGCGATATCCGTGCCAAAAGCGGAATCGGTGGTGTGGAGCTTCGCCGGTCGCGAGCTCAATTTCACGTCGAACAATACGCCGTTCTACGTGCAAGAGGAATACGCGGCCGAGAGGGTAGTCAGCACTGTCACCCTACTGGATCCCATATCGACGTACTTTGGGGATTACAACTGCACGGTTACGAACAGCTTCGGCACGGATTCTGTCATCATCAAACTGACAGCACACAGTAAGTGTTTGATATCTGATAGATTACTCTCTTACTATCGTCTGATCGCATCTCATCCCTAGATAAGCTTTCGAAGATCTTGCGAATTCGAACGTACATATTGTTTGATAATAGATTCATTTAGCGAAGGATTGCCAAGAATGGTAAAATGATTTTTCCTTCCTTTCTCTCCATAAAGTTTTAATTTTAATATTTTTGCTAAATACCGTTATATATAATTTTGTACGACAATATAATTTAATATTTTTTTGAACGCTAATTAAATAATTTACCGATAATCACAAAGTGAATTTTTCTCTCTTTGTCTCTTTTTTGCTAAATATTTAAATATTTTTTATATAATTTTATACGATACTATAGTTCAATATTATTTAAAAAGCTAATTAAATTCAATATTTTATGAAGTATTTATGAAATGAACATCGCGTATTTATGAAATGAACATCTTCTTTTACAATCTGGAAATATCAATCTGAGTGAATCATTTAGTGATCATTTTCTAGAATAAAATCTTTTACGCAATCGCATAAAATTTTAATTCAAATTCCAATTTTACTTAAAATAGAAGATCTTTAATCTTTTTAATGTAAAAATAATTAAAAAATTAAATTTTGCTTCCTTGCATCTTTACAATTTACTTAACAAGATCCCTTTTTTAACTGGAAAATAATGTATATACATCGAATGCTTCCTCTAAAGCATTTTTATTTTTAGTATTAATATTTCGTCAAATGCGCAAAATGTATTAATAATATTTTCTGTATTAAGTTTAAGTTTTATATACTCACCATCACAGCGACGATCTCGGTCTTCTTTGAATAAAACTGGCGACGATGTGCTCTTGATGTGCTTTTCGATACACTTCAACCCGAGATTAATTAAAACATCGATGTTGTTCCTAAAATTAGAAAATATTTAATTCTTTTAATCTAAAATTAACTAAGAAATTAAATTTTGCTACCATCTTTATTTTAATCTTCATATTCTATTTCTATATTTTACAATTAGTAAAATCCTTTTTAATATTTAACTAAAATTATTTATTAATATATACATCTGTGTTTTTCCTCTGAAGTAATTTTATTTTTAGTTATCATTTTTATGTGTATCACCAAATACATTAAACGTATCTATTATTTAAATTAAATTTAAATCTTCGTATACTCACGATCACAGTGACAATATCAGCTTCGATTGATGCTTTTTCTAGTGATTAATTGAAACATTGATGTTTTTCCTAAAATTAGAAAACTATTTTGTGAAATTTGAAAATAAATTAACTAAAAACTTAAATTTTTTTTTGTATCCTCACAATTCTGTTTAGTAAAATTTTATTTATTTAAAACTAAAGAAATTTTATTATGTACATTAATATTCTTCCTCTAAAGTAATTTTATCTTTAGCCAATGCATGATCAAATACGTTAAATGTATCTATTATACAAGCACACAAAACAAAATTTGATGTTTGATCCAGAGATTAGGTCATGATATTCTTGTATATATTGAAATCTAATCCGATGTCCAAACTGCTCCATTACACAGTCACATTTTTTTATCGATGAAAAATAGCTCGATTTTCCAGTATTTTTCGAACCATTTATGGCCTGGTTTTTAGTATGCAAGCTGAGGTGAAAGAGAGAAAGTAAGTCAACGATAATATGCAAGTTTATAAAGTTAATATGGTAAGTTAAAAAGTACCAAAAAATCGAGCTGTTTCTGTTGATTAAAAAATGGAGCAATTTGGACGTAACTTCGGTTTCAGATCAAAATACATATGAATACTACGATTTAATTTCCGGATGAAAAAAATTTTTGTGTGCTTGTGTCATCTGAATTAAATTTAAATTCTATCATCTATTTTCTATAGCTGGACATTTTTAGAACGCAAAGTAAAATGAACACATTTATGTTTAATATCTGATGAAAGGAAGGAAAAAAAAATTCTAATGCAATTCTAAGTAGTGCAGGAATGAAAAACGGGAGAAAGTTGTATATCTTAAAACGAGATGAAAGTTACATTGATGAATATTTAATAAATTTCATTGGTGTCAATATTTAGACAATTTCATTGATCAATATTTAATAAATTTTATTTTTAACGTCCATTAATGCTCGCTTTTATAAATTTTCATCTCGTGGCAAGATGAACACAATCAACCTGCTCATCTTTTATATACTAACAATCACTGCTTCTCTCGATCGAAACTGATGACAATCCCTCGATGCATTCCAAAATTACACTCGCGGATATAACAATACTCATGGATTCTCCCGTTATCGATCACTAAATTAAATTACTAACGATATGACTGATTTATCACCCGATACAACGAGATGACGCTTCCGGACTCATTCCCGACTTCCCGTTGTTTTCGACGTTTTTTCGATCTAATGTTTTCGTGCGACGCGAAATTCCGCGAAGTCGCAACACCACCGATTCCGGGAAGACGCGCGGCGCGAGCAAACATGGCGGACACGAAGGCCGGCCGTTATCCGAATATTCTGGATGAGCGCCGAATCGTCCGTCTTCATTGATCCACTCAACGGTGGAGGTTTTTCGACGTCTCCTTCGATGCTTTTCGATGTTCCGGGATGCTGAATGACACTCGCGACGCGGATGAACGAAATATGGGAAACGGATGGATTTTGTCGACGAATCCTACCCGCGTCGCGTGGCGTCGCGTCGACTGCGCGCAACACGTACCGACCGGCAGTTGAGTGAAATTCAGTTACGGGACCGCAGGTAACTTCGCGCGTTCCGTAAAAATTCCAGACGGACCGCCGATTTCGAGTCCCGAGTGACGTGTTAATCACGATCGCGCTGGTCAATTAACACACGATTGCTCGTCGCTAGATTCAATATCGCCGACACTCGTACGCAGAATTTATCGGAGCTTATCCGGTAAAAAGACGCTAGAAACCGCAGCGATTGCGATCCGCCATGTCCCGAAGAACGCGCGACACGTAATGCCGCTCTTAGGCGGTTAACAAAATTTGGTAACGCGACCCGCGGCTAACTTCGCGCGCTCCGGAAAATTTTTCGATGAGACGACTGCTGATTTCGAGGCTCGAGAGACATTAATCTGATTAATCGTACGAGCCAATTAACACATCGTGACAATCACCCGTCTTGAATTCAGTATTCTAGACACTTGTTTATGCACAGGGTTTATCCAAGCGAGTAAAAAGACGCGAGAATATACGATTGCGATCTGACATGCTTCACTGAGAAGCGCGCGACACGTAATGCCGTACTAGGCGGTTAAAAAAATTTGGTAACGCGACCCGCGGCTAACTTCGCGCGCTCCGGAAAATTTTTCGATGAGTCAGCCACCGATTTCGAGGCTCGAAAGACATTAATCGCGATCGTACGAGCCAATTAACACATCGTGGCAATCACCCGTCTTGAATTCACTATTCTAGACACTTGTTTATGCACAGGGTTTATCCAAGCGAGTAAAAAGACGCGAGAATACACGACGATTGCGATCTGACATGCTTCACTGAGAAGCGCGCGACACGTAATGCCGTATTAGGCGGTTAAAAAAATTTAGTAACGCGACCCGCGGCTAACTTCACGCGCTCCGGAAAATTTTCCGATGAGACGGTCGCCATTGTTGAGATTCAAGAAACATTAATCTGATTAATCGCGATCATGCAAGCCAGTTAATACATCGTGACAATCACCCGTGTCGAATTCAGTATCCCCGACACTCGTTTGTACGTACGTAGGATTTAATGGGATGGGGTAAAAAAAAGACGCGAAGATACGCGACGATTGCGATCCGACATGCACTGGGAAGCGCGCGACACGTACTGCCGTAGGCGATTAGGGAAATTTGATCACGTGACCGCGGCTAACTTCGTGTAAGATTTTCTAACCGATCGAGCGCAAAGTGACGGGCGCCGATCGCAAGAGACATGTTGATCGCAATTACACGGGCCGAATAATAGATGATTTTTACATCGCTCGGCTCGACATTCCCGATACTCGTTTCTACGGTGAATTCACCTTCACTTGGGGACGGGTAAAAAGACGAGAGGATCGCAAAACGCGGCGATTGCAATTCGACATGCACTCGGGAGGCGCGCGTACCATCTACCGGCCGGTGATTAGCAAAATTCGACACGTCATCGCGGCTAATTTCATGCGACGCGGTGTTTTGCTAAAATGCCGAAAGGATATTAACACTGCCGACGGGGACGCGTAAAACTACCCTTTACATGGGCACAACGCGTTGTATTTTCCCTTTTAAAGCGCATTCATCAGAGAGCAAAGACACTTAGACAGAAAGCATTTATTGTTATTGGCGTATTTTTAACATGTCCCCTATTCTGACTTTCCTGAAAGCTTATGAATAGCTTCCAAAGTGAAAATTATAAAGTATACATTTTTTACAAATTTTTATTTTACACATATTAATCGTCGACTAACAGGTGTCTTTTTAGAAAAGGGCTAAAACAGACTACTCACCGTTTTGCATAAAGGGCTAATTTCGCAAAAAGACTACGACATTAATACTTTTAACTCTTCGCCAGCAACTGTGGTTTTTAAGGACACCATCAACATTTTGATTGTGAATTTTGGTAGATAAATTTCTTGATAGATAAATTTAAATCTGTGAAATAAGTAAAATACAATCCGATTTCTGATAGTAAAAGTTCTTTTTTAAAGCTTTGACACGTATATCAGAATTTTTTTAGATTTTTATATAATTTGAAATAATAAAAAATTTACTTTAAATAGGAGAATCTTCGAAAAATACAGGAATTTTTTTATTATTCCAAATTATATAAAAATCTAAAAGAATTCTGATGTGTCAAAGCTTTAACAAAGAATGTTTACTATCAGATTTCTCGAAGACTCCTATTGTTGACGGAAGGAATAAAATTCATGTTATCGGTGGGGTTAAAATGATTCAAATAACATTAAATTAAAAGATCAAATCGGGCGAGCTTATAATATTCAATCAAAATATCGGGATTATCCCATTAAGATCAAACCTGCTAAACATAAACTAATAGTAACATTACATCAATGTTATAATTGCCTACTCAATAATATGACTGTTATGAACAACATGTGTTATATTATGTTATATGTATAATGTTGAGTGGGAAATTATAATATTAATTATAACAATACTGTTAGTTTGTATTTAGCGGGAATTATTTTCTTCTCTAATCGTGGTAGCAATAATAGGTGTGTATTTCTAGAACAAGAAATAATGGGGTTGATCGAAACGCTACGTTTCGTTATAAGGCCATCTCGTAATAAAAGAGTACCGCGTCGTTGTAATTTTAGACGTATATACTTGAAGGACGAATGTGTAATTCACGCCCGTATTGTCTCTCGCCGAGTAATTATTAAAACAAAAGAAGGATATATTAAAGGCGTTGTTACAAACGAGAAAGTCCTAATTTTACAATTGTGATATTAACGATTATGAGAAGCCATGTTTGCTTTTGAGAAGCAAACAATATGAGCTAATTGTAACTCGACGCGAATATATATGTTCATATATGTACATAGGGTATATACACATTTGTTTTATAGTAACCATTCGTACTTTCTAAATGTGAAAGAAAAATTTCTCTCAAAAGCTTTCTCGCGTGAGAGAACAAAATATCTTTTATTTTAATAATCTCGATATTTTTCCGTTGGGGAAAAGTGGACTTTAAATATTTTAGTAACCTATATAATCTAAATTTTTTATGATGATATAGATATATTATAGAAAATATTTATTAAAAAGTCGTTTTGATATCATAAGCGTAATGTAGATCTATTACGGTAACCTATTACGGTAATTACGAAATAATATTAAAAATTTATATAGTTTTATTATTCTAACGTTGTAAGCGTTTTCATTGTTGATATAATGGAAACTACGTAAATTTTTCTCTTTGATTATACATCAAATTCATGGAAACAGATGTAGGTCTAATGGACATAGACAGTGTGTTATAAATCGGTTCGCTTTTTCCAAGAAGATCGAAACTGTGTAAAGTAGTTTAAGAACGATTAGGGAGTTGAAATATTACCAGAGTCTCTTACCGCGCGTATTCACCGAGATAACACCGGTGATATACGTAGATATTTTGCGTACATTTAAATAAAAGCAAGGAAATGAGATACTTATCTAAATGTCTGGTTGAACGTATGTCACCGTGTTTATTCAAAACATTTTTAACCACTGTTTACTCAAGAAAATGATGTGTATTTCCACTTTTCGGAATTGACATTGTTTCACAATATAGCTTCCCATAACTGTAAGCTTCTTGAGCAGAAGTCAACGGGACTATCGTTTTATACAATAATTTCAATTCTTTTGTATCGAGACTTTTACGATGTTCCGGAAAATCACAATTTGTAAGAGTAATACGTCCGTGACGGAAAGCTTCATCACCATTCGATGCTTCTAAAAGATCAGAGAGATTCTGGATCAGCTCATTTGCGCGACTAACTCTTCATTCAGTTAATGATTTGCAAACTACTTTAACCGCTACTCACGATCAAATAATTACCTTCGACAAATGACTCACTATTAATGTATATATCAAACGTTATAATCTCTTTTCGAGTCGCTACGTAATTGCTGTTACATTCCGCGACTTAATTCTAAAAAAGGGAAAGATAGGAGTGTAAAAACTTCCGTAAAAAGTGGCACAGTTGATAAACATGACTATCGAATTTATTACAGCGGTAAATAGAAGCTTACGCTTAATCTGCAAAAGTATGACAAAAAAGATACACGCTGAAGATTCATATATTACTGTTATTCAAGCGAAAGGTCTGGAATTCGATGTTATTGACTTGTGCCACTTTTCAAGCAGCGATGCGTATATTAATTAACGCGCCTCGCTCTTCTTCATATGGTAAACGAGATTTTAACCAGACATGACGCTTAGCGTTGATTCCAGTCGATTGGCAACTGATCTTGATCATCGCCGGGCTGGTTGTCTGCGTGATCCTAATTGGCATAATAGTCATACTCATTCTACAATGTCGCGATCGTATTAAGCAGCCACGACCGCGTACGGCGCAGAATCAAGAGACCGATTTGCGTAAGTAATGGTGATGTTAATACATACAAAATATATTGTATCTACAGAATGTTACAAGAAAAACTGGGTTAAAACCTCTTTAGACCTGATTTTAACGGAACCAAGTTAAAAAATCTTTTTTATTCCATTCAAATGTACTTTAATAAATAGTAAACAATTGATTTTTTCAAAATTTTGACTGTGTTGATAGAATTAAATAATTTCAACGGATAACGTCTTCAAATTTGATGATTATATTACAAGTTACTCTGATTCTGAAGGGATTAAAGTAACGAATGTTATACCAATTCAATTATTGAATTTTTCAAGACATTTGTTCAACCTCGTTACCTCTTTTCCTGATTCATATAGAGGAAACGGATTCTAATGCCGATCGATACAGAGAAAGCGATAGGAGCAGCAACCTCTCGGATGTCAAAGCGGACATCAGAGCGGGATCCAGTGTCAGCAACGCGGAAAGTGTCACAGCCCTTGACAGTGAAGGCGAAGGAAGTACCAGAGGAGTAAACGCCTTGGCGCTTGCTGGACCAGTGCCGAATCCATTATCCGGTTATCGTTACAGCGCTGATTATACTGAGCCTTCCTTCCCGCCGAAGAACAACGTAAGTCAATTTAAAATACTTGCTCTCGAGATACTTTAACAAACGATTGTGAGACTTTCTAAATAAATTTGAAGAAAAAGATCCAACGATTTAAGAATAGATTTTGAAAGAAAACTTTTAGAAAAATATTTGTAGAGATATTTCCCCTTTACACGCGGAAATAATAAAACTGTTTTGTTAAAGTATTTAAAAATTTAGTTAGATATAGATCTGAAAATAATTTCTTTGGACCATTAAAATAATTATGTAAGACTTAAATGTTTAAGCGTTCTATATAATTATTTTGATGGTCCAACAAAATTATTTTCAGTTCTGTATCTAGCTAAATTTTTTGTTACTTCAGCAAAATCGTTCTTTCCGTGCAGCATAGATTTCCAAGGAACGTCCTAAGAATGTTCCCGAAATGTCTCTCGGTTAAAGTGTGCTGTATGCGAGTCGTTATTTATGTCTTATTTATTCAGTATTAAAAAGTGAGACGTGGCATCTGTTTCTGTAGGATGGCAGTAACAACAACGGTTACGTGCCATACGTTGACTACACTCGCGATTATATGCCACCAACGACACAGAGCATGGGCGCTTCGCGAGAGTCCTTGAGCAGGATATCCACGAGTGGTATCTTATCATCGAAAAAAATCGGACTTAGCTCGGCCAACCTGGGTAGCTCGACTCCACAGACAACGCCGATCGATCCGCGATTTTCCGCGACATATGGCAATCCCTATCTCAGGTAAGACAGATCTCTCTGTCGCTTGTTCACACTGAAAAAGAGTTTATTAAATTTTAATAAGTATTCGTTTTATACTACTAACTAAATATTTACTAAATGTATGTTTCTTTGATACAAGAACCATTAATTTGATTTAAATACAGCTTTTTGTTAAATAAATATTTATATACTGTAAGTAAATATTTCATTAGTACTATTTAAAGAAATATTTATATTAAAATTTAGTACATTTTTTTCAGTATTCAAACACAGGCCAGAAAGAAAACAAAAATTTATTACTTTATCATTAATCGATACTAAAAACTGTCCCTAATTTTTCTAAAAAATTATCGCCTCTCAGATATGTGAGACAATATACAAGAAGAGCGATAGTCTCAGTGTATCTTTACTGTAATATAATTCCTTTCATGTAAGCCAAGGAAATAACCTTCGTTCACGCTCGATCAAAGTTCCAAAATTTCTGAGAGTGTCAACATAGTCACGAGAGTCTCGGAGCTCGCGCGGATGCTTCGGACTAATTATAATTGGCTCGTGTCATTGATCGGCTGCGGATACCTTAGGTGGCATCACGTTCCGTTTACGTATACGTCGCGCGACGCTTGTCATCCTCGTGCGCGGGAATCTCACGTCGTACGTGCCAGGAATGCGTTCGTCGCGAATGGCTAAATTAGATATGAGAGCGAGGCACGGCTGTGCCTCGCACGAGCTTCAGGAAATGCTTGCTCCACCTCAAAAAACGGAAATACGATGATTAAAAAATCAACCAAGATGCGAGGGAGAATTCCTCAGAAAAACAGAACGTAAATTCTATTCAAGGTTTCGCGTAAATTTTGTTTGCGACTGTATATTGCATTCTGTTTTTCTCGGGGGACTTTTAAAATTCTTGTTTCGCGTTGCGTTCAGTGGTCCTTCTTTCAAAATTTTATACTCTTCCTACAGAAGATGACCTCGAAGAAAGATAGAAGCGTCCCACTATTGTGTCTCTATATATATAGACACAATAGTCTACGCTTCGCCACCCGCATCTGGCTCATACGTGCCTTTCCTTACCACTGTTTACCTTCCTCCGCCAAAGATGCAAACAGCAACAACCTCACGTGTTTTGTTTCAATTCAGACCCAGAATCCAAGACTTCTTCCGAGTCGGACTGGAGTACAAGCCGAAACGAGATGAGACGACTTCCTCGGTTGACCCGGTCCGACAACCCAAACTAGGAGTGAATTCGTTACGATTTCAGTTCAGGTTCGCGGTTATAACGCAGTAGAATAAAAGCTGACAAAGAACTGTCAACACGTGGAAGTCTCTTAATATCATTCCTTTTTGAAACAGGGAGAAGTATTTCAAAAAGAAACGCTTTGCAATGATAAACATGACTGACGGAACTTTGAGATATACTTCTTTGAAGTTTAATTTTACTTTTGCAATTATCTTTACTCCTTTTTAAGATTTAGGGAAGACTTCTCCTGCCCCTCCTTAGCTACGTCCATAATTATGAGTTTCATTTGTAGCGAGGTGAAATAAATATTATTGAACGCAACAGTTAGAATTTAAGATATCCTCTTGCGAAACAAACTTTGCTAATTATTATTTAATTTTGTAAAGTGTCAAATGTCAATTATTAATCATTAATCAAGTGATACGATGAATATACATATATTCTCTAAACTTTTTTAAGTGAAATCTTACTTTAAAGAGTAAAAACCGAGCCAAATGGAAAAGAGAGGCTCAATTTTCAATGTTCAAGTGTGAGAATTGACTCTACAAAATAAGATTCATTGTAAAAGTTTCAGAGTGTACATGAGAATACATTTGACGATGCATTGGGTGCTCACGTAGCGAAAACGTTGATGTACTCGTGACGCCTGGCAAGAAACGAAACCGCGACGAATTCACTGGGAGTCAGATTCAGTTACCGTTTGCATGCTTGTTTCTCGCTCTCTTCTCTTTCCGCGATTTAAATTCAACGCCGGGAAAAAGCCCGATTTCCCGTCACTAACGCTGCATTTCTTTCTTGCAAACGAATACAGAATGTCAGCGGCCGAGCAGCTCCGACACGCGCCGCACACAGCCGTGCCGGGAGTCACGCCGGCACCACCGCCGTACACGCAGGCAATGAGAATGAATAGCTTGAATACCTTGAACGGCGCTGGCCCTCAGGTTGGTACAATAGCGAAATGTATGTCAAATTCCTAAACGTAGTTACGCCGACACCGGAGTGCCGCGGCGCTTCATGCAACTTGGGGTAGATCGGGAGCAAACTGTCAATATTGCAAAGCCATTGCAACTGCGCGCGCGCTACTTTCATTTTGCAACGTTAATCCTTTCCCGTACGGCCCCATTCCAATTCCCCGACGCACGTAAATTTCTGCCTGGTAAATTGTTTTTGCCTGCTCTCTGCATCGCATACCTTCGCGTAAGACACGATGGACAAAAAGAGCTTCGCTCGCGGAAAAAAAAAGAAGAAATTGAAAATCTAATAATCAGGTAAGTTGTATTTCGAGATACGGGTTCGGGTTGGCTTTCATTGACGGTCCGGATTTAATTTTAGAGAATGTAAGCTCGGTATTAAAGGATGCATATAAATATACGGATTTCGGTAATTACACAGATGCGCATGGATTGCGATAGAATTAAATTGATTTATTTCTTGCCGTTTGGAATTGTTTTATTTTTATATTTAATTATTTATTTTTTTCTTTGTGTCAGAGCTAACAAAATTCGCAATATTGATTTATTACGCTTGACTTACATTCCGACTTAACCAGGCATGCTAATTAATGTATGTATATTTCGGGGCAAACGAATGGAGTAAAAAAATTGTCCATAACGTAGCGTACGGGGCAATTGAGCGAAATAATAGCGTAAGCCAGTAATAATGTCACACGTTTGAAAAAGTATAATGCTTAGTTGCTATGGCGAAAACGTAAAATTTTCAATTTTTTTCCTTTAGAATCGTAGAAAATGTATAATAACGTAGCTGAAATTCGTATTACACAGTTTCACAAATCCTTTTATTTCCCGAAATGAGAAAAAATATGGCTTTTACCACTTTTCCGCTCACATATTACTCGCTGGATGTTTTCATACTGTATAATTCAATCTTTGCACTATTTGAGGCTTTATAGTTTAATGGATATAGATGGAAACACACACACATTAGCTCGAATATCTGTTTTATGTTTCTATGGAGTTCGTGTAATTAAATATGTATGTCGCGTATCATAAAAATATATCACTGGTACTTCAACTTTTATATATGTACAAACTAACGAGATTTTCAAAAAAAGAAAAAAATTTTATTTGTATATTATTTATATGTAATTCTCGCCTACAATTAATATAATTTGTTTGTAGAAAATCAGAATTTATAGAATCTGTGATTAATCTCTTCTTTATTCAATGAACATGTCAAGCGATTTATTTCAACATAGCTCGTTTTGTATGGGGACATATATCTTATATATGTAAATATGTATCTTAATTTAAATCTATGTAGATACATATCTTAACTTAACAAATATCGTTCTCGGTGCAAGGGAGGTTTAAGATAAATATTTAAAGAAGCTGTGTATCTTCTTAAATTCAACAGAGGAAACATATCACGATTAGAAGCAAAGTAGTATCCGTAGGATTTAACAGCCGAGGTTAAATGCGATAACGTGACTCAGGATACCGCGTTCCTTTTTGTTTTGCAGGCTCCATTGTCAGCGCATTATATCACCGGCGGTCCAAACGGGGCCATGGCGACGGTGAAGCGCACATCCGCGGTGGGCACGTTAGCGACGCACGTATGAGGCCAGGGGATCTATCCGAATTAGAACCGTCGATACTCGGGCCTAACTGAAACCACCTTCGAACTCGGCCGTGCCCTCGAGACGTCCCGCTACTCGCTCGGTCCGCGCCCGGCGACGTTGAGATCGACGACGCGCGACGCACGACGTCTCGTTGATGCATCGGAACAGAGTCAATGTCGTTACAACCAGACCCGTCACGCTCACGACACGGAACGTTATAGAGCGGAATGCGAGCGACTTGTAGGACGAAGGTCGCAGGGCAGCTGGGGCAGCAGGGGTCACGGCGGGGTCACGGACCGAGCACAACGAATGGCCGAGAATGGCGAGGCGCTCAAACATATCGAACTGGTGCTTCGGCAGTTGCAAAGGGCCAGCAGAGATCATCAACAACTCGTGCGGCAACGTCATTCGGACGTACAGTACGAGATCGGTAAGCGAATCAACGAGAGAATCTGGCATCATCGTTATCATCATCACTATCGAGATGGACGCGAGAGTTCGATCGACGCATCTAGAACTTGGTCCAGGTCCTCGAGCAGCCCGTGGGAATCGGACGTAACTTTAAGGAAAACGCAACCGAACGTTACAACGAGATTGCTAACGAAGAGTCGAGATTATGGAGGAACGGCGCAAAGCACGATCAACATTCTGAAGCCGGTCTCCGGACGCGTTCGGGATGAAACTGCGGACACTTATCAAGAAATGAAATACGTTTCCGAAAGTGTCGGCTGGATAGACGCGCGGGAAACGCTTGGTGCGTGGAGTCTGCCTGGTGGAACTTCATCGAGCAACGACCGAAGGACATCCTCCACCGTCGTTTAACGCGGACAGGATCGGCTTTGTGCCGAGATTCGTCGATCTCGGCGCAAGAGGGTTGCGGAGGAACGTGGGACACTCGAGAGAATCGAGATGAACCGGAGACTCTCTCTCGGGAAGGAGGGAAGGTGTTGACGTGAGAACGACTCGTGAATGCGACTCGTTCGTGTTAATGATACGCTTACGATAGGAACTGCACTTCAATCGAAATCAAACTATCTCGCTGCGCGATGATGAACGACGCAACGCATGCTGAAGAGACGGCCGGTGCGAAAGGGACGCCGATATCGAAGGGAACTCTCCTTTTGGGTCAATAAGATTAGATTTAGGACGACGAAGAGCGCCGTGAGTAGTGCTCGGAGGATGTTCGTGAGTACGAGAAGAGAGAGAGAGAGGAGGGAGGGACGATGTTGGTTGGGTTCGTGGATCGAAGGTACTCTCTTCGGTCGGTGGCGAAAACAGACCACTCGGTATCGACAATCTTCTATTGACGTACTTTAGATCTTCTATATAATAAGCGTTTAATAAGACTCGCTCGAGCGGAAAAGCGATGGGAGACGGAAGGTCCGAACGAATCACGTCGCGAATTGTTGCTGTCGCGGTGGTAGCCGAATACCGGGGAACACGTCGCTCGTGACCGACGACACGGTTATTTTCACGAAACCTCGAGGGTTCTCTCCTCGAGGTTGAAAGCTTTATCGTTGAAGCCGCTTTCCCGGTGATTCGTAAGCCGGAGCTGGGTTTACGCTTGACATTTACAGCGCGCCAATTCTATCTGACACTGCCCTTATTAGCGAGGCCGTAACAACGAGAGTAGTTATTACTTTTTCGCAGCTAGCATTTTAAAAAATCTCTCTCAACGATATCAGTTAATATTCGTAATGACGCACTTCTCACACTCTTTTCTAAATTTTTTAATATATTTCACGAAATTTAAATATAAAAATATGATAAAGAGGTAAGAGAGATTTTTTCGATCGAAATTACAAAATTTACTTTCGCCTCTGTGTACTAATAGCTTCTTCAATAAGATACTCGAGATATTCGCGTTATACACGTTGTAGCACAGTTGAATCCGAATGTCAAGCGCCAACCTACTCTAAAACGGTAAACATCTCGCCTGCCACTCCGATGTTCACTGTGTCGCGCTGCCTTTTTGTATTTGTAGGGAAAAAAAAAATAAATGAGAGATTAGCTTATAAGAGATGTGCTCGTGCAACATCCGCGGACTTAAGGGCGCACGTTAAGGATTAACGACGACGCCGCGGCGGCCACGTGGCTTTCGTAGCGATGATAGATCGCGACAAGTTCTCGTGGCTTCGCGTTTCTTCCGGCCTCAAGTTCCACGTGCGACGGACAGGTAATTAGTATGCGCGAGTACGCGCGAAGGGAAATCGGCACCGCGTGTTTTGCGGCTGCTCGCATTTGTAAGATAGATAGCGAAAAATCATTAGGTATACATATATAAATATATTATACACCTGTTGTCAATATGAGCATAGGGCCTATATATAGTTTGATGGCACTACGTGAAAGCGAATTCTATTTGAAATAAGCTCGTTCGCGCGGGATGGGACGGCTTTATGTAAATAATTATTGATAAATAATTATTATGTACGTATGGGGAACGTAACGGGAAATACGAAACGACGCGATCCTTCGCGGTTTTGTCGCGCATTTTTTTCCAAAAAGAAGATGAAGGCGCGCGACTAGATCCGCGCTCAACTTTACTCTCTCGTAACGCATTATGTTGTCATCTTTTCCATAGCATTTGTCCTTTTCACTGCGACGCGCCGAGGTTCGTCACCGAGGATCGGAAGACGCAGACAGAGAATCGAGGATGACTCGATAAATTCGTTTCTTATTTTTCTAAAAATTTCGATATATCATTTTTAACTAATTCTTTCGTATACAGTAACTCAAAATTTGCAACTCAAAATACTACAACAAAAAAGTTTTAAAAATTAGGTGAAAAAGTAATATGTAAATTTTTATTTTGAGAAATAAAATTTCTGAGATATAAGAATTTTAATGTGGCCAATTATAGAGTACATTTAAATGGTCATTTGTTAGTATTAGTGAACACGCTGAAGTTCGTGCTCACTAATACTATCGCATCATTAATGCACATTTGATCATCTAAATGTAACTGGCCCTTTAAGTCCTTGTTACCTAAAAATTATCGTTTAAAATAAAACTAACTTTTTTACTCAATTTTTTGAGAACTTTTCTGTAATATTTTAAGTCGTGAATTTTAGGACATTCTGTATATTCCTTTTTTTCAAAATGAGATAATACATGCGATTTAAAAAGTATGTTGCCAGCAAGATTGACAAGTAAATTTAATTTTCAGATTAAATCTTTCATGATATATTCCTAAGTTTAGAGTCGCTCTAAAAAATAGTTGCTCTTAAAAATTTTAAAGAGTGCGACCTATCAAGTCTCCTGATCTTACATCCGCCGATACTCGGGAACGATCAATAGCGCGAGCGATCCTCGATTTATTATAGTGCGACCGAGAAAAATGTATCCTGAAAAATACTACGTCGTGATGTATAGAGCGGACATAAAGGATACCATTCATAATGATAACGAAACAGGGTAGCCTATCAATTATTAAGACAATTTCAAAAATCGAAGGCTGCACACTACAGACTGGGCCGTACGCGCGTATCCTGCACCGTCAGGATAAAGATTAAATTCGCGCGAGAGGAATCCTCGAGACGATTCGTATTACCGTCGAGAGGGAGAAGGGTCGAAATTATTATTAAACGATACCGATCGTCGCACGTTGAGGAGCTAAAATTCCGACGATCGCGAATGCGAATTCGCATTCGCGTCGTCGAGGAGATACCTTTATATCGTAACGTCTGTAACATAACACTTCTGTACATATCTGGAATTATTGCTCACCGTATCTCGTAAGATTTAGTTAGTTTTGTAACTGTGAACCACTATGTGCATACATACTTCACTTGATGAGGGGCGCCTCGTGACGAATGTTTCGCCCTCAAGGGACAGAGTTCCCGTTCATTCGAAAGGACATCAGCCGCGTCTCTCTCTGGTAAAAGGGCTTTGCAGATTGGACGAAAAATTACACGGCTTATCTCCTAATAATGACGGTGACTTTTTCCTCTCGAAACAAAAAACGCGTCGTCGAAGTCACCTGGGCAAGGCTTTAACAAAGGCTTTAATTTAATATTAACGCATCGAATGTATTAACATCCTTCTTAACTGTCATTCACGTGGAAACACAGCAACCATCAGACCTTTACCACTTATTATTAAATTATTAATCGAAATTATCCTCTTTCTCGTTACATCGGATTAACGCGTCGTTCTTTTTTACCTCCTACATGCCGACAACACAAACTTTCGACTTACTCAGAACAAGTAGAAAAAAAAAACGCGATATTTTAATTAAGACTCTCGTCGAGGACGATGTACGGTGGAATTTTTTAACTTTGCGTGAATGACAGTTAATTGCTTGATTTCGTCGACGCGTTGTTAAATCATCGATGCGGGCCGTTGACAGGGATTATCGCGAATCATCCATCCGAGGTTTCGCTTCTCGTGCATCATTCGATCATTCTGTACAATGTTCACGCCGATGTTACTGTTAAACTATTTAAGATTTCGGGATCTTCAGTTTGTGGGGCGCGCACATGACGGCACTGTGTGCGCGCGGAATGGTGAATAATGCATATATAAGTATCGTGCTTGCAAGTGGTACTCTCGACTGCCGAATGTACAGACGATGGATGAGGCAAAAGGAAATCATCCGGGTAACTTCATCGTAGATGCATTTGGTACCGAGAAGTTATACATACAGAAGTTACATACGATTTCTATTATAACAAAGAGAAAAAAAAAAGAGAAAAAATGTAGATTAAAGAGGTATACACGCGAGAAGTAACTACAATCAATGTACTGGATGGTCCGTGTGGCGATGTTAAAATTAGAAAAAGTTTATGTCGTTTAAATCTTAGGAGTTTACGCCTTTTCTGCCGTAGGACCATCCTATACGTATTAATTGGTTATCTGTCAATTATTAATTGAATTATATCAATTTCTTCGCCTTTAGTCAAGGAACGCGGGAAATGGGTGTAAGCGCGATGGCGCGATCGCGTTGTTGTAAAGTCAAATTTCCTAGGCAATGTAAAAGACGGTCCCTTTTAAGCGAAACGCGAGCGATAACGTTCGCATAACGAAAGACGATAATTGCCTATGGGGGTGGACGAGGATTTTTCAAATTTGTTGATACTTTTCATACTTTACGACTAGGAATTATGGCCTATTACTACTATTACGCAAAGTTTATCCGCCGGCTCGGTCGTTTTTATACGTTCTCATCGTACAGCCGCGTTTCGTGCGAGATCGTAGAGCACGTTTCAAATCAGGTCGAAAACTGTAAATAATTTATCGGAGTAATACCTTAGAGCGGCATATGTCGTATATCGGAATTTAACTCACACTTTTCTATCATTTCATTTGTCTATATTTAGACTTTATTAATGATATAATTTCGTTTCTCTATTCAAAAGATAAAAATGACGAAAATCCATTGTCACTATTACACGAGTCCCAAATGATTATTTTCATAATCTATTTAATAGATATGAGTGATCCTTTAACGCCAAAGTCTCCATAATTTTGCGACTTGTATAATATTTCAAACTTCTGATTACTACGTAAAATGTACGGTATATAAATTTCATAGCTCTTTTAGTAGGTTTCAAAAGTTATACGCTACGACTGCATAAATATGCTAGACGTCAAGAGGATCAAATTAATTAAAATGTAAATGAAATCAGTAAATGCGATGTTGAAGAGTTAAAAGAACCGGACTGAACTCGTCAAAAATATGACGAGTATGCCTTTCTAGGGTAATGACGTCCGACTTTGCCCTATCTTAAAAATCGCGAGTATTAAAAAGGGCCGAGTCGGCTAAGAGATTCGTGAATGGGAAAGTGACTTTTTAGAGAATGAGCGCTCTCTTTGCGTGCTACTGCGAGCTACGTAACGTGGCAGTGGATTACATGAATATAATCTATTTCGAATTCGACTGAACGACACACATAGGAGATAATATATACCCCCATATTTTTCTCGATGTTAAGCTTTTTCTCAGAACGTATATGGAACGTAAAGTGCGTCTACGTGAATCAATTGGAAAGAAAACGACGTCGTCGTCGCACGCGTCATTCAACATCGACGTGTTTGGTGTTTCGCGGCGGCCGGATGCACTCAAAAGTCAAACAAAAAATTAAAATGACTTTATTTCGATTCTTAACGTCAATAAACAGTCAAATTTCGTAACCAAGGATCATCATTTTGACTTTCATGACGTCAAAATAAAGCCATTTTGACTTTTCCTTGATTTGATGTGTTCTTTGCTCAAGGAACACACAAAAGGCAATAAAAAATCGAAATGACTTTATTTTAATTTTTAACGTTAATGAACAGTCAAATTTTGTAACAAAAAATCATTATTTTGATTTTCATAACGTCAAAATAAAGTCATTTTGATTTTCTCTTGACTTGGGGTGTGTTCTTTGGGTGGGCGATCGTTTTGAAAGTGCGAGTCGTGAGTCCCGATTCAGAATGATCACTTTCGCTCAATTACCAGGAGGAACGCGTTTATTTCCGCGACAAGAGATCTTTTTGCCGAAAAGAAAAAGAAGATATTAAATTTCTTCCGCGGTCTTCTCGCGACCGCCACTGTTAGAGAAAGGGAAAACGAGGAATTTAAAAGAGAGAGAGAGAGAAAGAGAGAGTAGCCATCTGCGAAAAATCTATGTTACGTATCTTCCGTGCGTGTATGTGTGTGTGTATATGTGCGTGCATATATG